ATAAATGTCTCAGAGAAAAATAATTTCCTTGTTATTTTTAATGCACCAAACCGTTTCAAATGCATTATTTCTGATAATACATTTCATATAATACATTCCAGCAATATCATTAAGTCTTAAGAATAGGATTCAAATGAAAAAGTAAAAGTAAATACAAAAGGATAATTACATGGTAACTCAGCATCGACAAGAGGCATAAATAAAAATCATGCAATTATATTCGTATGTGCTTATAAATTTTAAAGTCTATTACATTAAAGCATATTCATATAAAATCCAGCTTTAAGTCTCTGAAGATTTAATGTAACAAATACTATAATTTACAATACAGATCGTTTGTATTATTCTATGCCTAATTATGTTATCAAAAAGCATTGTTTTCACGGTTTAAAATTCCATGGAAAAAATTAATGAAGATTGATATAAAAAAGTCTACATTTAAGTTCACTATGTTTCTCATGTTTTCTTTCGCTTGAATTAAAAAAAAAAAAAAACTTTCGAAATCTAGCATAACTATCTGAATATATCTGGAATTGTAGAAATACCATTTGGAATTTGGAGCTGAAAATATTTTGAAAATTGACAATGCTCTCTTTGGAAATTGATCCTAGGTCTTCCGTGTAGCTCTCTGTTATTCTCATAACCAAGTCCCGGATTCTGATTACATGTGCATTTTTTTACAATTTTTGAGTATTTCCATCTTTTAAAGAGTTTTTAAAATGTTTAGAACATTTTGAGATACATCCTAGTAATAAAACTGAAAAATAAAATAACCTCTAAATAACACTTTCTCAATTCTTACGAACTCATGTGTACTAGGTAGGCATGACCTATCCACAGAAAACTGATTATAATATGTTAGGCCTATCTCTCACCTATCTGCTTTCCACAAGATACGATCGTTACTTCAAAAGAATGCTTCCACTGACATTTCATAGCTTTCTAAGACATTTTGTGCATGTTCAGTTCCACAGGATTACACGCAGAAGAAAAAAAGCTTTTCCTTAGACACATTCTTGGCATTAGACATTGACAGCAACGTATAATACGTTTTCCTACCCTGATAACATCACTGTATTTTATTTAATTTTTGGCTCATTTGGTATAGTCTGTCGACGGTAAGTTGGCGAATGAATTTGAATATTTCCATTTTTAAGAAGGGACTATTAGATTAAGAATGTTGTGAATGTAAAAGACGTTTGACTACCGTACCTTCCGACAGAAAATTGGTTTGCTTCGAAAGTACAGTGGAAACGAGCAGTGCTTTAAAAACTTTTGAATAATCATGCAGCTTTATACAACAGATCCAATTTCAGGATCCTTATTTCAGCTATTAAATGCTTACAAGCACAAGAGATGGAACTTGTCGATGCACTAAGTAACATTGAGAAATTACACGATGTTTTAAAAAGACCGTAGGTAATGTTTCAAATACTGCATTTAAGGAATTCAGGACTGTTTTGACAATAACTGTAGCTTCTAAACTTTGCGAAAAATATTCTGCATATGGTCAGGCAAAGTAGGCTCTTGAAACGGAAGAAGAGTTAACGATAAATGATCCAGTTATTTTTTTCATGTGTGCTCCGACAAGTGCAGTAGGTGTCGAGAGAAGCAGCTTCTTCAGGTATAAATCTTACATACTGACAACAAAAGATCTTTCGAAAATATTAAAAATTTTCAATAATTAGGTTCTAATGCAATAGAATCGTGTAAGATTGAAAATTAGGGGAAAATGTAAAATTTAAGTGACAGTGTGTAATTGTTTGGATTTTATTCATTTGTCAATGTTTGTGAATTGTGTCATTTCTTTTATTATTTTTTTGTTTTTCGGGTAACGTCTTTCTAATGTGTATTTTTTTCATTTTAAGTGATTTTAAATTAAATTCTAATCATTAAATTATTTCCATTTTTAAGGGCACTTTCAATGAATAGTAAAGTCATCAAAATCCAAGCTCTGTTTAAGTGACCCAGAAGGGATAAGGAAACACAACTTCCTTTTATCCTTCCCATACCTCGAAAGCAAGATGAAATGACTCTCGGTGGGTCGATCCACGTTTGAAAGATCCATTATATACTCATCAAAAATCCATTTCCGGTTTTTAATATAGCGCACAAATATTTTGAGTGATGCAGCATACATATCTCAGATTCTTTCGCAGAATGTTAAAGGAGCGCGGTTCACTGTTCGCAACGTTGCTGCTCGTGTCGGTGAGAATCTCATGACTGTGAAACGGTATGAAATCGATGAGTCCATGAGGAGCATACTGAATGTCATGCAAGATCTCTTTTGCCCCGAGCCGCCACTAACACTGGAGACGACAGCTATGTTGTGCTCTCAGCCTTGTGAGATGGTTCTACTCTGAATCAGGATCTGAATCTGAACAAGGCTCATGCGCAAGACGTCAAGTGTCCACATTGAGATTGCAACGATGTCTGCAGTGTCACGGACAGTTAGCTCCACGATCGTTTTTGTGTCTTTCATTGGCGCTACAACAGGAACAGGCAGCAGACGAATTCGGTCTCCGTATCATATACGTACCCTTACGTGCTTACCCCCCGGGTCATTTATTGAACTGGCTGAGATCTGTACTCTAGCAGTCTCGGTTTTGACAGTTTCGGCACAAAATAGTCGAACATATATTCCGGTAACCTATGGATTACAATTTTAGTATAACAGGAGCCGATAGAGATGTTGGTGTTGTTCTCTCAAATGAGTAGCAAGTTGACGACCAGACATTTTTTTATCTATAGGCTCCACACCCTTCGTCGTGATTTGAAGAAATTTTTAATCCGTGACTCTGATATACTGGAGTGCCTGGGGCAAGCGGTGCAGTGAATGTATCCGTATTCTGAGGCACCAACAAAAACGAAAGTTACCAGCTGGCATTCGTGATCGACATATGGGCCCAGCATCTAGCATGCTGGTATAGGGTGCCGCTGGGTACACAGCCCGGTCACCTCATGTTCGTTTAACCAATAATGTGGACAATCTCTATTATATTTCTCACGTGTCAAAGCCACTAGATGTGCCTTACTTTCGAAGGCTGCGTAGCGCCCTCTTTCAACAAAATAGCGCGTGACAGCATATTCACTCATACTGTTCTGAACTTCTTTGATGTACAGGGTGTTTGATTGTTGCCCTGCTTAGCAAGTTTTTAGATATCTTACCCATTGAAAAAAATCTGGTCATGGGTTGGTAAGAGACTGGCATGCCACCACTTGCCAACGACTACGATTGGTGACTTGACATAGAACTGGAGCCACATGAAAGAAGCAAGATCAGTAGATTGAGGTGAGGTTCTTTCCAATGTTGATGTCAGTTACTCACAGATATGGGAGAAACGATCACAGAAAGGAAGCAGGAGATTGCTTTTGAACAGACTAGAAGTCTGTGGCATCATACAAAAGCAAATCTTGTCATGTAATAACAATGTATTTACTTGTATCTGAAATCCAAGCTCATGTCGACCTGACGCCCAGTTGGATTACACCCATTGTTTCTGCTAGACGTGCTCTGTGTACTGAATTCTACATGTTGTGTGCCCCAAACCACCTGCAAATTTAATAATGTCTCTCATTATATGCGCAATAAATAAGATTCTGCTGTTTACGTTCATTCCTGCTATAGCAGTTTTAATGGTAAGTAGCTGTTATTGATTGGAATATTTTTAGCACTTCTAATAAAGTCTTCTGAGTATCCATATTTTCAATATTGCGATAAAAACCTTGTCTGCCATAAACCTTTTAGTGCCAACAGTTTCAATATTTTAAAATGCATGACTCAAAATAGCGTAATTTAAACATTAAAAAAATATTTTTCCTGAACATATTAATAATATATTGCAACAAAAATTATATTATTCTTCGAACATCATAATAAAATCAGTTTCTTAAGCCTTACTATCTATCCATAGCAAAATAGCTAACTCTATTGACATTTAACTCTATGCAACAGTGTTAAAATATAAATCTGAATTAAATTCTGAATCACTATAATTTGCAAGCTTTTATATATGCTACCGTCTTTTTATTTTGTTCAAACACTAGTATTTGTTTTTTGATATTTTCATAGTTTCCAATTTATACACTTTATTTCCGAAAGAGTGAAGAATAAAGTGGATCCTTTAAAACTTCAATTCTCTTAACATTGAATTTTACATTTTTATCAATAATAAAGATTGATTTCACAAATTTGCAGTAGCAGATTATTTTTTTTAACTCAAGTATAAACTCGAAATATTTGAAATCAAAAGATGTATGAAACATAGTTAAATAAGTATGTTCTTGCCAGAATGTTAATAAGCTAGCGCTCGTATATTTAAATGAGGTAGAAAGAAGTGGTATTTAAGGGAAGATTTTGGAAAATGATTTTAGAGCATGTTGTGCCTGCTTGAAGGCCACGTCGCTATCTTGATTTACTAGCGATTAGATTTCTGAGGCGCTGAACGTTTCTAGCCATTAGCTTGTTATACCGACTTTTACGAGTCAGAGCCATCCTGCGCGTTAAATTATCCTGTGAGCCGTTAGGCTAAACTTACTACATTTAATTTTAAGTTCATCGTTACTTTTTTGAGTAAAGTCAAAAGTGTTGGCTTCGAGAAGTCAACACTTTTGACTTAACTCAAAAACCTCGAGTTTAGAGAAGTCAAAAGTGTTGGCTTCTCTAAGCTCGAGGCTGTGCCATCTGTGATTATATTGAGTGAATAACGTGTTCTCTACACCCTTCTATGGACTTTGTCGTATTTAAGACCTGAGGATAATTCCTCACAGAGTATTCTAGGTCTCGTTAGTTTACGCTAGTAACTAGTAAGTCTCCGAAAACTGATATATAATCAACAATTGTGTACAATTATTAGATGTGCTTTGCACGTTCGTGGACTATTATCAAAACCGTTGCGTAGAATGATATGTCTAAATTAATGTAATCAAATAGTAAACGCTCAAAATTATCAAGAAAAATAACAATATTCAATGGAAAACGAAAAATATTCTGTACTTACATTGGCAAGCTCGATTTCAAAATTGATCATATCTCTCAAATCGTTTCTCACTTCAGAATTGTCAAAATTCCACGTGTGAGTTGGGTAAGTGGCTTTATACTCTTGTTCACAATAGCCAATTACTCTATCGATGAATAATCGGTAGGATGAGCGAGGGTCTTTGTAGTACTCAGAAGTGCCGGGTGTCAAATAGCTACGAATATTGGAATAATTTAATGCAAACGATGGGCGATCCAGCTTGAAAAGAAACAAAAATTATTAATATTAGATAAGATTACTTATTAGATGTTCAACTACCAATATTTTAACAAATTTGCAGTACTTCCCCCCTCCCCGGAAAGAGGTCGTTGTAGGCTGAATAAAAAAAAGAAAGTATTCATTACGCCTATAATATCCAAGAGGTGATAGGTCGAATGTGCAGACAAAGTGCAATCTTTCTGATTGCTAGAATCGAGAATTTTCGATTTGAACAAATCACTGGAAGAAACACTTTTATTTGCTGTGTGCGTGACTTATAACATACCGTTGCGATTTAAATACAATTAATACTTTTTTTTTGAAAAGAAGCATATACCCAGTATGCTTCCTTTTTATATATAATCAAAAATCAATGCAAGATGTAGCCCTAAAGCTTTAGATAGGCAGTAATATTGTTAATGTAAGATAGAATCTGCGTAATTACCGTATTTCCTGGAATATTTTCCCCCAGCTCATTTAGGACTAGGTTCTGAAAATTTAAAAAATATTCGAATAATATTTTCCATATCCATTATTGTACACTGGTTTTCCCTCTGAGGGCTAGTTTATTGATAAATTGTATTTCCTTAATTATTTTTATATTTATTCAGTGAATTCGGTTTCCATTTGTATTTTTTTATTAGCATTTCATCCATTTTATTTTCCCTTGCATATACTATTTAAAACGTATTTTGTGCAGATTCTTCATTAAGCTACCTGGATGCGGCAAGTGTTCTTGCACTTAAGGAGCTTCCGAAATATGTAATTTCACCTTACTTCAGTTATTTAAGTTCCAGCTCATTGGAGCGTTATCTGCTGTTGATTTATTCGATTTTTAGAAATCAGGAAATTGCATCCGAATATTCATTCAAATATTCTCCAGACTTGTGTACATTACTACAGTGGTTCACATGAAAATAAGGACATTCCTGTATATCTGCAATGCAAATTACAGTTTGAAAGTCGGTGTAAAATAGTCGAGCTATAAAATGTATGAGACGACATGTTCTAACTGTTGAGGAGTAATAACTTTTGTAGTAATATCTCTATTTAACAATTAAAATGGGTAGAGCTTCAAAACTAGTTTCATAGGAATTCAAAAATTTACAACGTTTTTGTCACGAAAGCCGCTCGATTTCAAAAGGATCATCGACCAATGATTCTGCTATTACTTTAATATCAGAGTCAACCATAACGAATCAAAGGACTTAAAATGAAACAGAAAAATAAAAAAATCAAGAAGAATTCAGTCTAAAAAATGAACTACATGGAGCAAGTCCTCTGGTTCATTTTTCCACTCTGAAACTTTTAGTTAAGAGAGAAAGTATAAAACACTTGAGAATCTATGTCTTCGCTCAGTGGAATTAATAAAGGTGATAGGTTGATGAAAACGTTCATGCCGTTTTTTAGAGATTTAGATTACAAGTGGATCTGGCGTCGTACATAACACTGTGATGATTATAATTTTCAGCCGATTAAAACTTAGGGGGATAGCATATAAAGGTAACATGCCTGTAAGGTAAACCATTTGATAAAAAATTTCAAACGGTTTATAATGACAAAGAATGAGGAGCATATCAAACATTGTTTGTTGTAGACTAAACATTCATCAAGTGCACGGAAAAGATGCGTTTGACAATAGTACATGTTGCTGGATTCGAAAATTCAGAGATGGAAACAGAATATGAAAAAATCAACCACGTTCCTCATCTTCATCAGCGGTTTCTGACCAGATTCCAAACCAAGCTATACTGAATGCTTCCAATGCAACTGAAGGAATAGAGAAATGCTCAAAATAATACTCGTCGCACAATTCTTTTGAAGTCGAATGCACGTGCTCTTTGCTTTATTGTTGTAAAAAAAAAACCATTTTTGGAATGAGTTATTACGGGTGAGGAGAAATGGATACTTTGCTGTAACATGGAATTTCCAAGGACAGCGTGTCGTAGCAGAGCCTGCTCCACGCAAGTCAAAAGATGAACTGCCTCTCGAAAACGCTTTGTTAAATGTATGGTGGGAAATGAAGGGAATAATCTACTGAGATTAACTCCTGTATAACCTAGTCATTAATGCTGACATGTACTGCCAACTGTTGAACATACTGAGGTTAAAATCTATCGAAGGACAATGCGTTATTTTTCAGCATGGAAACTCCAGCCTTTATGGATCTTTAATAATTCGGAAGAACGTACTCGACTTTGATTGAAAGATTCAAACTTTATTTTTTCAGAGTATCATGTTTTTCGATCGTTACAGAATTCATCGGAGAAAGCAGCATTACAAGATCTTTTTTATTCTAAATCAAGGGATTTTTATCGCTGAGGGATAAATCTACACAAAAGCAGATACCAAGGAATCTCATTAAATATTCGTGATTACGTCAATCTCTACTTTTTCTTTACTTGCTGTTCTTTTTCACCTAAGAAAATGGGACGAAGGTTCCCATCGCTCCGATACTTACTCAGAAAGCCATTAGCTAAATAACTCTGCTATGAATTTAACACTTTGGTTTTAAATTTGTTGTAGGTATTATGAACAAGGTTATTCAAGATCATTACACTTTTCTTAGATTATTAAAAGTACGTCATATTTGTTATGAAGTGTGTCAGAGCAATGTTGCAGTATTTCATAAACTAACATAATCAAACAAACCACCAGTCGCTACACATTTGAGAATACACAATATCATTAAGGATTTATGGTTAACCGTTTATTTAGCACTGCCTAGAGAAACCTAAATATGTTCGCTTACGATTCAGCCTCAATCACTTTTTGTTCTGATAAAATAAGGATTTAGAATAAGGTATGCAATGTTAATCAATATAAATTCGCTAAGAATCGTGTACTAACCTTTATGATGTAAGCCGAAGTGTTTAGGGGGTTTTCCGTAACAGACAAATTGAACAGAATATCGTGGCTATATCCCAGACCACGGAAATCAATGAGATTGTAACGCCAGTTAAAAGAGAGTTTAGACCAGTTCTTGCCCGACGATATCGGCCAATTCCAACGACTAATCATGTCTACCATAGGTTCACCTCCCTGTTCGTCGAGGGTTTCTGTCGAAATAAAATGTTATGTGAATAAAGAACAAGAAGTTTTACTATTAATACAAGTTTATTATTGTAATATTTAATTGAATTTATATTTAGAGCAACTTGCTCTACATAATGTCTTTTTGTTTAACTTCTTCTCTTGAATTAATTAAAATGCCTAAGTATTTGTTCATCCTATGGCTCTAAAAGAAAAGAACTAAATATTACGTAACTCAAAAACTTACTATTTTGAATGAAAATATGAGAAACACTTTTCCGACTTCTACTCCTAGAATGCGTCAAATTCAAGTATTATTTTACACAGCCGCCCAAAAGGGAAAGTGGTTAGTGACTCTGATTATCGTACCGAAGGACCCGTGTCCGAATTTCGGAGAAGGCCAGAATGCTTTCATTTTCGTGTCCGTTTCTATTCCTTCTTATTTACACTTTGTAATTAAAATTAACTATAATTCGAACAACTTGCTCACAGTAGGAATCCCAGTGAAACATGATTTTCAGACGTCGAATCGATTATATAAAAGATATATCTCTGAATGTGATAAACTTTTCTATCTATTTTATGTGGTTAGTTGGCAAGTAATGTATGCATTTGCACATTTTTAAATGAAACAATGCCCACCTTTTGCCAGTGAACAATTGGCCATTTGAAACAAGGCGTTTTACGAAGCCACAAGAAATTTTAGTAATAAAAGGAAAGCTTTTATCAGCGATATTAGATATAAATAGACCTGTACTAGATTAATTTAGGCCAATATAATAATATGGTAAGCAAAGAATGTTTTGTATCAAAACAGCCTACATTATTCTTTAAATATCCCATGAAATGCACTAAAACATTACTCAAAAGTGATAAATCAATCACTAAGAACATTTATAAAAACAATTAATAAGTTGAGTAAAATTAATATTTAACAGAAACAAAATTAAATTCAAGTAACAAATAAAGGAAAAGAAAGTCAGGCTCAGCTTCAGTTATTCTACGGTAATTTATCTGCTGGAGCAAAATTTAATAAATTGGAACTTAATATATGCTGCATGAATTAAGAATTTCTTAACTCTGAAATTAGCTTCAGTTAAAAAGTAGTTCGATTACTTTTCAACTACATTTAATTTACAGGGAACTTCACTTAATGAATTATGACTATTTCTATTATTTTGTGTATTCCTTTAAAGAGGACATTAGAATTTTTTTTTGGAGGCCAGAGAGCTGAAATATTATCAACGGCTTTCGCCGGGAATCGAACCACGGACCTCTGGAACACCGGCCCAGCTTGCAGAACCACTACACCACGAAGGCACGCTAGGAAGGCGGGAGAAATACCTTATACCTTTAAGGCGAAATCATTCAGCACGCTATGAAAAGAAAGCCAACGCATTGTACAAAGGTATTGTGAGATTCTTTTCATGTGCTATTCTCTATCGCTAATGGGAAGCTTGAAACGGAAAGGGTTCAATTCCCAGCTCATCTTAGCAAGATATCAAGTCTTTAGTTTTCTCTCGAAGTTTCATAATAATACCACTGGAGGTCATTTTGGTATAAAAAAGATACCCTAACAAGTTCACAAACATTACTTCTGGGACAAAGCAGATTTAAAAAAAGAGATGAAATCCTGTGATGCGTATGGAACTCAAGAAAGTTCTAGAATAGTTACACAAGGAAGATTACAGTTCTACAATGTGAAAACATTATTCGAAAGGATTCTGTGGATATTCTCGGGCTTTATCTCGTACAACTCGGGGTGACTAATACATTCTAAGTGTTCTGGATTACTTTAGTAAGTGGCTGAATTTTATGCTACACCCGATCATGAAACTTCGACTATGGCAGAAGTTCTAATGGAAAACTTGATTTCATGATTTGGAGGGCCTCTTCTAATTCAGTCTGAGGAAAAAAAAACAAATTTTAGGTTTTCCATATTTAAAAGATTATTTAAAATTCTCGTTATGGAGAAGATTCATCTACAATCTTAATCTCTACCATGCTGATTGGCATATTAAGAAATTTGATAGAACAATATTAGACTATCTCCCGCTGTTCGTATCCCAAAACCAGCAGAACTGTGATCAGAAACTGCCAATCCTTCTCCTAGTATACAACAGTGCCATTCGTAAGAACATAAGATTTTCTCTGTTTCGGCCGTGATCTTCGTCTACTATATGACCTGCGTTTCGGACGATCGTCGGATATACCATTTTCACCACCTGATCAATGCGTGGAAGGTCTTCAGGGGCGTTTAGAAGAGATTCATCGGTTCTCCAGGGAAATGATCTACGCGACGAAGGAGAGGATTAAAACGAGATACAATGCTAATTTGACGGAGAGGGATTTAAAAAAAGAGATAAGTCTCTTTTTGGAGTTCTAAGAAATGTCGACGAATCTTACCCTAGCTGAAGACATTCTAGGAAAGACCTTTCCATGTGGCCAAGAAACTGAATATCTAGCATCTATGGTGTCAGAATATTTGAAAACAGAAAATATCACTCAGACGAATAATCCAGCTTAGTCATTAGATATGAAGCCGATTTAGCATGTGTGGAATGCCCTAGACCGCCGTATTACAGCTGAGCTACTGCTAAACAAGGGCTGAATACTGGGAATTCGACGGAGATTTCATCCCAGTGAATGGGCTGGATGCTGATAGGTTTGCGCTCCCTAATGTTCCTACGGACATTCTGCTTCGACTGACTTCTCCGAGCGGACTATTTAGACTGAGTTAAGCTCTAAAAACCAGGTCCTTCTGTTACCCCCTTCTGATGGAATCAGATGGTCCTACTATGTGTAAAGTAAATACGAGCTAGTCTCTCTTAGAACGTTCTCTTTGAAGGCATTTCTACCCTTACCCGACCATGCATCCTAGGCTGCTTGGTGGCATTAAGAAAACGTGATCTAACTTAGAGAATTGCAACACATCAAATATCACATTAGATCATCCAGAATTTGAAAAATCCACGTCGCTGTTTTGAAGGATATATCTTCAAAAGAATGGCGTGCATTTGTGCAATACGTGATCAACAGTTTGAAAAATTCTGCGAAATCGAGATGTAAGGTTTGTATTTCTGCTATGACCATACATTAAACTCAATATGTCTGTATCATTTTTATAAATTTTGACGTACATTTAATATTTTGGAATTTGTCAATTAGGGAATATTCTAATTTACATTAATTAGTACTTTAATAATAGGAATAATACGTCACTGGACGTTTTGAAGCAGAAAACTTGAGACTTGTGCCATGCCCTTACTGGGATTGGAACTCCGAATTTCCCGACTGATAGACAAGTCTGCTTTCAATTGCACAACGAAAGCATGTAGAGAGGAAGAAGAAAATATCTTGCATACTTTTGTACACATTGTTTTTAATCATTTTGTCGTAAAGCAACAGCTAAATTTTACTTCTGTTGGTATCTTTAATTCTGATGAGCATCGTAGAAAGTGTCACAGTGGTTATCGTTCGATATATTATATATATATATATAATTGACAGATTAAGGTATTGATTTAAAATTACTCTTACTTGTGTCACTGCAGGTAGTATAAAGTCTTTTTAACTTTTTAATATAGTCAGCGTCGTTCTCATCTTCTTCGATTTCTAAGATAGCTAGAAATAAAAACAATTAGCATTTATATAAATGAGACCTCGATCTTCTTTCCTTCTTTCTTATTAAATTCTCCATTTGAACTGAGGGGCGCTACCTTTTGCAGTATTTTTAAAATGAAAGACATGTGTTGATATGACGACGATGTATCTTAAAACTTGCACAGCAATATTACGAATATTTATATTTTTTAATTTCCATGGCAAAGAACTAAAGATTGAGACACAATAACACACCGCATAAGTACTAATTCAGAAGTCAAACAACAAAAATCAGCGTTAATTTTCAAAATTTTCACAGGACTAGTTTCGAGGGTTTTACCGAACCACCATCCTCAGCTACAAAACCGCAAATGAACAAGCTAGAAAATAATGATTAGATAAGATAAGAAATTTTGGCCAAGAATAAGCAAGTGGCACCATCTGTTGGTGAAACCAGAACTAAAACATAATTTCTTTAAAGGCCAAAGACAAAGATGGGTTCGAATTAGGATCGTTAACAAGAACAGAAAGATTTTTTTTAATGTGAAATGCCTCTAGAAAATCTAATTCACCCAATACAAAATGTTTGTTGAATAATTTTGGCAGCAGAAAAATTGAAAGTGTGATTTTCGGACCAACAATGTTGAGCAACAGAAGACTTCTGTGTTTCCTTTTTTCTAACATATGCCTCATGTTCCTTGACGCGAAATTTTAAGGCTTTCTTAGTTTGGCCAATGTTAATTAAACCACACTAGCAAGGAATCCTATAAATACCCCAAGAATTCATATCCGCAATGGGGTCCTTGAGTATGGAACTCGGAATTTTATTGATGGGAGAATAAACAACCCGAAAGTTAAATTTCTGCAAAACATGTGCAACTTTATAGCTAATTGATGGAAAGAAGGGAATGACAACAGAATTTTTATAATCTCCTAAAACAACAGTGTGCCTTTTAATGTGTTGAGATGAGAATTTTTTAACTGCTTGATTAATAATGTTGGGTGAAAAGCCCTGTCAATAGCTATTGCTTTTAAATAATTTAGTTCTTCATCAAGGGCTAGTTTGGAGGAGCAAACTTGAAGAGCACGGAAAACATAGGAATAAAATGAAGATAACTTTTGTTTAGTCGGATGATATGATTTAAAGTGTGGTGGAAGGCAAACCGACGAAGGTTTACGGTAAACCGTAGTACTGAAGTTGGATGTGTTACGTGTGACCAGAATGTCGAGAAACGGAAGAGAATTGCAAGTCTCAAGTTCAAAAGTGAACTGAATAGCAGGATCAATAGAATTCATTGTTGAAAGAACTTTATTTAAATCATCTTTATTACCTTCAAACAGGGTAAAAGTGTCATCTACGTAGCGGAACCATGCCGGGAAGTTTAAAGTTTCAAACAATTTTGATTCATAAAAATGCATGTAGATATCAGCCAGGATGGGACTTAGGGGGTTTCCCATGGCTAATCCCTCAATTTGCTTGTAATATTTATTTTGGAAAACAAAATGTGTTTGTTTCAAACAGAGTCGAGTGAGAGAAATTAGCTCATCAATTTCGATGCAAGAGAAATGAAATTCGCAAAGTCTGGTTTCTAGACATCTTAATGCACCCTCCACTGGAACATTTGTGAATAATGATTTTACATCAAAAGAAACCATGAGTAAATTTCTAGGAGAAATGTTTTTAACCTTTTTTACAAACTCTATTGAATTTTTTATGGTGTAAATAATTCAATAATAAATGTTATTGTCTAATAGAGTTGATTGAAAATCTAGAAATGAAATATTTAGCTAAGGGATATGAGGCAGTACCTAAATTTGATACAATAGGGCGGAAAGGAATACCCCTTTTATGAATTTTGGGAAGAGCATATAATCTGGCACAATTCGCAACAGATGGGATAAGCGAATGTTTTAAGTTGCTTGAAATGATTTGTGAAGATTTGATCGCAGTTTTTATTTTTGACAAGTCCAAAGGGGAAGGATCTTTAGGGATCGGATTATATGGTCCTTCGTTTAAGAGTTATGTGACACCACCGATGTAAGTGTTCTTATCCATGACGACTATATGGCCACCTTTGTCGACCTTTGAAATGATAATATACGGGTTAGAATGAATTTCGTGCATTGTAGCTCTTTCTCTCGCAGTTAGATTTGGTTTCAAAGGTTTATTATTGAATTTCACATTATGAGTGATAAGATGCCTAATCATTTCTTTATGTTAATCTGAAACTTTACTGAACTTGAAAGCTTTTTCGATAGGAGCCAAAATCCTTGGAATCGATGGTTTAAAGGTTTGTGAGAAGTTAAAATTATATTTTAGAAATCTCTCTTTTTCTTCTGAAAGACTAACATTAGAAATATTAACTATTGGATTGATGTTTACAATGGGAAGATTTTTTGAACTACTTGAACTGGAAGACTGTAAAAGAAGTTTTTCGAATTTAACTGCAAAGGTGTTTTTATGACGGTTAACTGCATTCTCCGTTCTAGATCAAGACTTTTGTTCAAGGGCAGTGAATTTTGGATATGAATTAGCGAGTTCCAGATGAAGCTTATAGAGTTCATGTTCAATTTTTGACAATTGTTGACGTGTATCCCTTATTCATTTTATTCCTATGTTTTCCGTGCTCTTCAAGTTTGCTCCACCAAACTAGCCCTTGATGAAGAACTAAATTATTTAAAAGCAATAGTTATTGACAGGGGCTTTTCACCCAACATTATTAATCAAGCAGTTAAAAAATTCTCATCTCAACGCACTAAAAGGCACACTCTTGTTTTAGGAGATTATAAAAATTCTGTTGTCATTCCCTTCTTTCCATCAATTAGCTATAAAGTTGCACATATTTTTCAGAAATTTAACTTTCAGGTTGTTTATTCTCCCATCAATAAAATTACGAGTTCCATACTCAAGTACCCCATTGCGGATATGAATTCTTGGGGTATTTATAGGATTCCTTGCCAGTGTGGTTTAATTTACATTGACCAAACTAAGAGAGCCTTAAAATTTCGCGTCAAGGAACATGAGGCATATGTTAGAAAAAAAGAAACACAGAAGTCTTCTGTTGCTCAACATTGTTGTTCCGAAAATCACACTTTCAATTTTTCTGCTGCCAAAATTATTCAAAAAACATCTTCCATTGGAGAACTGGATTTTCTAGAGGCATTTCACATTAAAAAAAATCTTTCTGTTCTTGTTAACGATCCTAATTCCAATCCATCTCTGCCTTTGTCCTTTAAAGAAATTATGTTTTAGTTCTGGTTTCACCAACAGATGGCGCCACTTGCTTATTCTTGTCTAGGATATCTTATCTAATCATTATTTCCTATATTGTTTATTTGCGGTTTTGCAGCTGAGGATGGTGGTTCGGTAAAACCATCGAAACTATACCTATGAAAACTTTGAAAATTAACGCTGATTTTTGTTGTTTGACTTCTGAATTAGAACTAAAGATTGGTTAAATCCTGAATTTTTTCGAATTTAAATCCGAACCCTGAAAAAATTCGAATTTTTTGAATATCGGATCTTTCGAATATTTCGTACATATATATATATATATATATATATCAAATGTTGTATGATCTTAAACACTAGTTCGAAAACAAGTTTTCTAACAAGTATTAGGAGCAACAAACAAAAACAAGTATTAGGAGATAATATAAATCAATATTTTAGTATATAATATATATATATATATATATATATATAATGAGAGAGAAAGAAAAATTTTTTTTACTCAAAAGTTTAGAAATAAAATTAAGTTTTCAATCAGCATTTATTAAAAACAAATGTAAAGATACAATGTTTAAAAAATGCATTTGCATTTATTAAAGGATGCGAATAAAAATTCGAAGTTCCCTGGCAAATAACAATATTGATCTGTGTTATTCTATGTGATTTTCTGATCTGTGTTACTAGATTTAAAGACGAAGTTTTTGTACCAGAAAAGAAAACAGAAAGATTAACTTCGCACTGCAGAAAAGACAACTTAATATTGTAAGTTTGCATTTAACATATTTTCGTGAATTTAACGTATATCTGCACTAAATTCAAACTTATATAAATTTAATGATTATATAAATTTAGACGTATTAGTTTTAATCTCGAACTGTCAGGCATATGTCATTATCTCAGCACCGTACACTCAAATTATTTACCCAGGAGAACTCGCTTTTATAAGCTTTTATTATATTCACTCATAGTGTTTCACTGCGAATGGAATTTTGACATCAATTTATAATTATTTCCTGATATGCTACTGACTTCAGATTTTGTACACATACTATTTTAAGTGACAATTCGCCAGTGACATACAAGTCGTTTAGGGATTTTTTATTTTTCTTATTTTGTTCGTTTGACGAACAAAATAAGCATATCAGAATTTTAACTCTCGCACCATCGAACAGAGAGGGAAAACAATTTTTTGAATAAAACTTGTATGAAAATTGTAACTTCATTTCTGAATGGCGAATGTCTGAAAATAGCTCGATTTTTTTAGACTACTTGGCCTTATGATTTTAATCTTTTAAAAGTGTATCAGATTTAAAAGTGTATTTTGGAATTTTCAGAAATTATAAAACAAACTTTTCGCCCTCTATCAAAACAAGAATGACAAGATATATTTATTGGGGAATTTTTTTAATATTTTTTAAATGTGTTGCGGTCGGGCAGCAACACATTTAAAAAAGAATGTGTTACTTCTGAAGCAGACGGGAGAAAAAAACGTTTCTCTCTGAAAAATTGCTTTTGCGTTTGCCATCTTGGTCCGTTTGTTGCCGAATTTGGTCTTTCATTTTAGCTTGAAGTAAAATGTTCGTTGTAACACTGTTATTACGTCCAGTTTCTGACATTGAATGTTCAAATACAATTTCTGCAATCTCCGAATGCCTTCAGTTATTTTTCTTCATTTCATAATTTTCTTATAATTTAATATATGTATTTTAAAAATAATTAAAAATTTCGTTATTGATAGCGTGTAATTGAGAATTAAAAAACAGAAAATAAAATACAATTTAAAAAACTTTTTTGATACAGAAAGATTTTATTTAAAACGGAAGTGATAATTAATGCTATAAAAGGAGGAAAATAATTTATCCTATAACTTAATAAGAATAATGTAACATAATACAATTCTATTTACAGGATTCATTTACTGCTTTATATCTCATATAATAAAAAAAGGGGCTACATAATTAAATCTATTTGTTTAATTGCAGTATCAAATGTACAAGCCATTATTATTTAAAATATTCCATTAATTTAATTGCGTTTCCAAATGTATAAGCTTCTATCTTTTTTAATTTATCACGAGTGGCGACCCACTCTATAACTATTCGCGATATAAAATTGTAGATGAATTCTGCAGTCAATAGAATTATTTATTATTTCCATTAAACAGTATGATAAATTATTTTTCTCCTTTTAGTGCATCAGTTATCATATCCATTTAAAAAAAAAACGTTATTGTATAAAAAGTTTTCTTTAATTGTATTTTTGCTCTCGTATATAAGATCATCTCTGCAATTAAAGTATTGGCTGAAATTTAAACTTCTTACATTTGAGTTGCATGTAGTGGTTATGGGTAAGATTGGATAAGACAGAAACACGGTATTTGCCTTCCAGATAGCGATGTTCATTCTGCCAGCCACCACAAGAGTATTGATAAAATTCCTCACAGCGGTCCTCAGATTGATTCATATAGGCCGTAAAGACATGACCTGAAAGATTCATAAAAGTCATCAATTACGTTAATTTCAATTATTAACGTTAATTTAATATGTCATAAAACATGAGAACATTGGAAAGCCATGAATAAGAAATTTAATATCCGATGTAGGTAATCAAAATACATAACTTTAATAAAAATATTTCATGGCATCTAAACTTGAGTCTTTAAAGTAAAGCTGTCCTTTTGTTTATAAAAGACTTAATACTAACTAACACATTAATTTAGAACCTAAAATAGAATATGCATTACTTAAATTTTAAATTAGTTCTTAAATACCTCATAAGGTATTTCTCCCGCCTTTTTAGCCTGCCTTCGTGGTGTAATAATCTGCACGCTGGGCGCGTATTCCAGAGGTCAGTGGTTCGATTCCCGGCGAGGGCATTGCTCATTTTTCACTTCTCTTGCTTCCGAAAAATCCTAATGCCTCTACAAACTTAGCAGTACTAAACTTCTGCTAAGGTGTTTAGAAATTATCCAAGTAAAGTTAATTTAAAAATTATCCAAGTAAGCCCAAACATTATAGGATAGGTTTCCTTGACATTAATCATTATAAAATGATATCTAATACATTAAATGGTTTTTAGGTGGATAAAAGATTAAGCTAGAGTACATTGCAGTATAAATTGCAAATGTAAGATAAAAAAAATAACTCCAAACTTTTAAATTTAATTGTCTACAACCTCTTTTAGTTTTATTTAATTTGCGGACCTCTTCTCTCTGTCCTAAAAATAGCGCTGTAAGTCTAAACTGTTTCATTCAAATTAATTATGCGATCATACGTACCCTTAATACACTTAACCTCTGGACCAATCATCAAATTGTAAACCAAAACTAAAAACTGAAACGTTTGACTCCCTCCATTTTTTCTATGAAATGATGCGTCACTTTTGCTTGTGCTTTCCTCTTGACCAGACGCCAGACTCCTGTCTGCAATCATGTGTCTGCTGCTATATATTCCTTCTGTGGTAATAATATCAAAAATTGTGAATGTTCTTTAATAGGCGCGAGTAGAGTGCCAAGTGAACTGTGGCCACAAAATGAGAATTTAAATTAAAAAGGAATTTAATCCGGCTCGACAGCTTCTTCTTCAAAATGGATGGACGCTCTAAGCATCAATTATCTACGCCATAAGTATTTCTACGCATTTACATCTCAGTGTTTCCAACATTGTTCTGTCATTACATTCTTCAAAACTGGTACGAGACGGGGTATCATGACAGGGTCAATTTTCAGTGTCTCTGAGATTTAACAGAAATAAATTTAATAATGTTGTTCTTAGAAACACTCTTTTTTTTTTACCCACATACGATGTTCTTGTGCTATTATATGCCAAGTAGGTGAAGACATTTTACTGTTACTCACCTTTTCCTTATCACAAAGTCAATGCATTTAAATCACAAAGTCAGTGCATTTTGTTTACTCCTCATTACATGTATTCTTTTAAAAATTTCACTTTTGCACACAAATAGAACTTATTAAAATCTTTATGACTCTCTTTGAAATTTTTTTAAATGCTTTCAAATGGACTTAAAATTTTTTTACACACACTTAATATTCTTATATTAATTTAAATAATTTTAAAAAATTTAAAAATTTTAATTTCTCTCCCATCTAAATTTTTTTTCATTTTTCAATTTTGCATACTATATATGTACAACTCTACTCTTGCTTTTTATTATTTACATTTTATCAAACTTCCCTCCTACTGCTCACCTGGACTGTACACTTCATAATAGACTTCTCGAAAGTTTCGTAAAGAATCACCATGTGATTTTGAATTACTTTATTCAGATTTTTTTCCATTTCCGTTCGAGTTAAGGTTTAATTAAATTAATTTATTCAGTGTAATTTTAATATTTCCCCCAATTTTAAGGATATTGCCTTCTTAAATATTTTACATTTTAGGCTATAACCCTAATCCTTCTTTTTATAGAGATATTTTTCGTTTTTTCCTCGATTTGGAAGTTTTGTACACGAACTACAATTAAAGCTTTTTACTTATTTCTCTTTTAAGCAAATATTCTTTTAAAATAAATTCATTTTCTCAAAAATTTTACTTTTAAATGCATTGACTTTTGATTTGCAATACCTGCTTTTGATTTACAACTTTTTAGCATTTTTGATTTGGTTCAGAATTTCTTTAAAAGTAAAACAACGAGGAAAAATACGATAACGTGCCTAGTTTTGAAATTCAGTGAACAAACAGTACATAAATGCAAAAGTATCAGTGCAAAGATTATAAATTAAATGTAATACAAGAAGAATTTATACCTCCCGATACATCTCCTTCAGGAAGTTCGTGTTTCGACAGAAGTACGTGTATCAACCGGTTTCTGAACTGATAATGACTGATTAAATTTAAAATTTCAGTAAACAACGAAGCAACTTGTGCCTTCATTAGTCCAACACCTATAGAATGGATTGAGAAAGGCACCTTGTCCAAACTCATAGAAAGAAAAATCCGTTATGATCCAGAACTGTAAAATCAGTATCATCCAACTGATTTAAATAAATGTAATATAAATAAAGTTAAGCAAGACAACTGACTAGACAAAGTACTAAAAATACTAAAAACAGTAGAAACTGTAATTTTATCAACCAAGATGTTCATTCAAAAACAAGTGCTTAGACCAGGAATTAAAGCAAAATATTGAAATAAAAAATTGTGTACATAATTGATAATTACAATAAATTAAATAAGGTACATAAAGCATACGAGAACCTATGAACAAAAATTAAATGCATTGAACTAGAATAAGCTAATCTAATATATTCATCAGTGCAAGAGAAATTTAAGGGAAGCTGTTAATTATTTTAGCTGCTTAATATTTAATATAGTACAGAACGAAGACTTGACGTCTTAAGGAAAGAAAAGAAACGAGTTTACCTCTAATTTGCAGCAGTCTTGATGCGTTTTAATCCATGTTATCTCAGCCCGACCAGTGATTCAACTGATTCGGGTAGATGAAGCATTTTTTTGAATGCTAGATGTGATAGTATTTTATTTTTAAATGATAAAAAGCAAGAAAACGAAATCAATTGTTTTTATTGTAGATTGCAGAATTTCCCTCAGGAGGGATACTTTGAGACTGAGAAACTGAAATAGGTCTTTATTTGTTAAAGAAAGAAAGAAATTATTAAATGACCTATTCAAAATTATTACAAGTTGGTCATCAAGTTTGCTCTTTGTTGCTCAGTTTGGAAGTTTTTTTTTTAAATTTGCTGCACTAGGTATGAATTTTCTTATTGATATTTTGTCCAAATCTCTGATGTACCGCCACAGTTGACTCATGTACAACGAATTTTATACAACAGTAGGTTTTCAGTTCCTTAGAGACTGTCATGCTTGCATTATATTGGCACATAAATATTATGATTGCCACTAGCGTAAAAATTCGAGTTTAAATGATGGGTGCCTTAAGAGCGGAAACAGTGAGCAACTTTACATGCTGCTATGTAGTATTTTACTGCAGTTTCAGTAGTAGAAGCTTTAGAAACACCAAATGGGGTTAAGAAATACACTGTTTGGTTTTGGGGATAACAACAGTAGTATAAATAATGATATACCGATAAAAAATTTCATATAATGCAGTAAATTACCAAATTTTTAAATAGCAGGAATTTAATAGTTCATATAGGGACGAAAGGTATTACACTTATTAGAGCTACTAAGAAAACAAAAAGTGAAAAAAATCAAAATATCACCTGCTTCGTAACATCCAACTGTAATACAAGCGTCGGTGGTATAGGATATTTTTCGAGATGATTCAGCTGTCATGTATATACCTGGGAAATAAATAATAGAGCAAACTATACCTTTAATTATTAAACAGCAATTATCTAGTATCTATAGTTATTGATGATTTACATGCGTACACATGTGTTAATAATGTATATGTTCAAAGAATCAGCATCAGCGGAACTTTTTAACGTACAGATAAAAATGTGCGGGATGAAAAACAATAAATAAGCTATTTATAAGTGAAAGCTATTATAAAGCGACACATAATACATGGAAACAATCATCAAACTATAAATAAAGAAACAGTAAATTATAGCAAAGCTTTATAAAAACGCTATTCATAGGTGGTCAGCATACACAAAGAATGTATGGATAGTACTTACCAATGCCAGTTAAACTTCTAATCGGAAAATATGTCCATTTCGAACTATGATTCGTTGCAGAACGCATAAGGCATAATTGAACACTGTTTGTTCGACCCAGATTTATATCCCTGTAAAATGTCTGGCTGCATGAGTGTTTTTGTGGGTTTCTCCATATGTACCATGAGTACGAGCCCGTGTTTCTTCGACAGCTTTCCACAAGGGCAAAAATCCGCTTAGGTAGATAACCCTTGAGAGTTTGCCAAAATCAAAACAGTCGAACGCAACCAAATCAGACTGTGACTTAGCAGTTAACATCGTTCATGCTCATTTTACCAAGTGATTTAAGATATAAGTGGAGTAAATTGTTCCACTCACGTTTTACAGCACGAATTTTTTATTCCCTGCCAAATTATTGGGAATTAAACTTTTCTCCTCTTAATTTTCTATACAATAATTTTCTCTTATCATCTATATATCTCTTAAGATATGCGAAGAAAGCAAGTTAGTCTATTTGACGTACTTCTACTGTCCAGAAAGTTATTCTACCCAGAAAGTTCTAATTATTAATTCTCGAAGACGGTTCCGCGAAGAATGGCGTTATCATTAACAAATGAAAGAACGCATCAGTGAATAAGAAAACATGGTATTCAACAAGTTCTTTGCAACAGGGATCATCGGCCATGGTATCATTCTTCACTGACTGACTGAGTCGTAACACCTGTCTATGGCTAAGGCTATGGCCCACTATGAAATTAAGTTTACCGAAAAGCTTAAAATTTATCATCAAACTAATTTAATTAAAGATAATTAACGAAATTTACTCGAACATCATACATTATATATGTAAGATATAAAAAAATGTATATGTGTATGATATGTAAGATAAAAAATATGCAAATCTAAATAAAGCGTATATAAATCTTAAAATTATAGTTCAAACTAGCAATAGTCCTTAATTCCCTCTCTATTCTAGAAAGAGTAATAACTTTCTGGATTGATTCATTTCTATATCAGTCTATGTCACATGGCTTGCGTAATGCTAATAATATAGCTAATTAGGAACCTGAACTCAAAATTTCGAGAACTGAAACCTTTTTCTTAATAATCAACCTAAACCGAAATCTTCTCTTTGTGAACCTCCATATTGGATAACTGCGCGTTTTTGCTTCTATCTGTGCTGCCGCTAGGAGGTTATTTTATTAACCTCCTAGTGGCAGGTTTCGGTCCGAGGTTCGAATCCCGCGAATGGGCTGGCTGCATGGGTGTTTTCGTGGTTTTCCCCATGTGTACCGTGTATACGAGCCAGTTTCCCTTAGAAAGTCCTCCACGAAAGGCATCCCTTCTCTTAGGCAGATAGTCCTAGTGTGCTTTGCCATAATTAAATACACCACCACCTGGTGGCAGGTTAGCCTCTGCCAGCTGTTGTCCATTGTTCTAAAAATATAATCTGTGTAAAATTGGGGGGATGAATAAAGCACCCACAATGATGATGGGAAATGAAAAAGAACATGTGTCTTCAGAATTCATTATCCAGGAATAAAATTATGTATGGAATTTATGGCTGTGTTTGTCTTCGAATGTCATATTCCTAACTACGCAGTAAAGCCTCTCTAAGTTATAACGCAGAGAACCATCGCCAATCCGTTACAGGTTTCTTCAAGACATTCTATTACATATACATATATTTCCACGAATGGATCATATATATATACATATACAGGGTAGCGCAAATTTACTTTGAGAGTTTTAATTTCAATAATACTTTTTGGAATTAATATTTATCAAGTTTTCTTTTTTAGGTTACAATAAATACTTGAGACTTTCAATATGGAGCTATACACGCATGCAGAAAATATATAGGTCGTAACATTTTCATTTGGAAAGCGAAAGAAGCATTATTTCTACTCAGGGAAACTTTCGGCGATATTTTAATATCAAATAAGCTCCTTCTAACCACACAATATTGCAACTTGCAGCAAATTTGAAGAGACAGGATCAGTAAGAGACTCGAGGAGGGCAGGAAGATACGAGGATCGAAGATAGAAGACGAGCTATGAAGAACCCATAATTTGTCATCGAGAAAGGAAATATCATTTGCTAGACATAATTTTCCGTAAATAAAAACTTAAAGAACACAGACATTGTATTATGAGTTCAAAATATAAATTTGCTTAATTTTCATATACTTTTTACTTCCTTGTACGAAGTAAAAAGGAAGTATTGTAATCGCGAAAAGTTTCAGGCAGCATATTTCAACGAAAATATCCATTTTGACCGCTATCGAATGCAATTTAACGATGTTTTTGCGTGATATCTGTATGTAAGGACAGAATAAAAGACTCGTTTCCCCCCAAAAAATTATAAAACTGCTTTAAAATTAATTCTGAAGAGAATTTTTCGTGGCGTCTGTACGAACGTAACGTACGTACGTATCTCGCATAACTCAAAAAACGAGTAGCCTCAAGAACGTTAAAATTTTGTATATAGGACTGCTATAACATGTAGATGTGCACCTCGTATTTTCGTTTCAATCGGCCGCACCAAACGTATATAAATATGTTTATATATATATCCATTCTGTCACCCGGCTCAGTGATCTCAGTTTCTTTACTCTTATATGTTTGTAAATTGTACATTTTTTTGCTTTAAAAATGATTGAATTATGTTGTTTTTATCTTCAGGTTAAGGTTTTTATGCCTTTAGTAAATCTGTGTGCAATATTTTTAGAATTATCAACAATTTTAAAGTTGTTTAAGTGCCGCTAAGCCTCTTTTTTTGATGGCGGCCATTGATTGTTTACATTTGAAACAGTTGACTAGTGGATTTGTTGCCAATCTAGAGAAACTTAGCTTCGCAACAACAAAGATAACGCTTTCATTTATTATTGCCAATTAAATCATGCCAAATCCTTTCTGGAATTTTTTCGAGGAAATAAGTGTTTAAGATATACTTCGTAATTTTTAATATAGATATTTTGAGTTTTTATGTATTTTTGCCTTCTCGTGAAGTGAGAATTGAATTAATTGTATAAGAAATACTCAATCGTCTGGGAAAAACTGTTTCTTTTGTTTGCTTAATTTCTTTTATACATCATTCTAGCTTTATTATAGTATTTGAATAGAACATGTGGCAACGATTACATAATTCTATTCTTTAAATGATATAAATTTTGTACATTATGAGTTATAATATGAACGAAATATAATACTGCTAAGTGAATCTAGCGCCAGAGTGTCACTATGGTAAATAAATACTATAATGAATTTTAAAGAATGCTTTTATTCTATTGTGGTTTATGCGCTGGCGGCGAAGTAGATTTAATTCAATCCAATAAGTTTAAATGAAATGCAAGAAAACATGCGTATAATTTAATATCCCGTACAAGCAAGTCATGTGGTGTACACATCAGATTTTTTAAAATTTAAATAATGAAGGCACTTTTGCGTTCCCCTGTATACGTATATATATAATATATATGCTTATATACATATACATACATACATTTTGCTTAAGATTCAGAATCAAAAAACACGTCAGATGACAAGACATTGAAAAAATATTAAAATTTTTTTTTAATGTTCTTGAAAAGAAAATTTACTTCTTCGAGATGTTAATTCAGATAAAGGTACGACTTGTGTTCAGTTTTACATAACCGTACACAGAAAAGAAAAGTTATGATTTTAAAAATATTATATTGTCTTAATATCATTTAAAAATATTGATTATACAAAAGACACTTTTATATAAATTATAAATATAATAGTTGTTTAAATTGTTTAAAATATTAATATTATTTAAATGCTTATTTAAAGCATTAATTTTGTATTTGTTTGAATGTAGTTAATACTTTAAACGCATTGAAAATACTATAATAAAATTGTGAAATATCAGTGGTAGGTTAGTAGTATCAAGAATTGTCAGCTAATATATATATTTCACATCGTGAATTAAAATTTCGTTTATACAGCTTTCTCATTTATATGCCATTTGCAAATGGACTCTCGAAAGACGTTGTATAAACAGTGCTTTACTGTACGTGCAAGTGAAAAATTATCACATGTATAACAGATACGAGTTGAAAAATTAAGTATCCCATTTTTATAAATAACGATTACCATAATTTTTGTTTCCTGAAAACAAAATAAACGTGACACACATAAATTTAAATTTATTTTCAGAAATTAGTTTTAAAACGAGCATATCTTTAGAATTTCCGATACAGAGACTCACGCGCTGGAGATAAAAGTGTTTTTTCTGCACAACGTTGCCATTGCTCGCTTTGAAATCCTTGAGTTTGTTAATCAAAAAATTCGTCAAAGTTTTAAAAAAATAGGAAATCGATCATAAAACAAATTTCAAATTTCAAATTTGGTCTCCACATGCTCATATTCGTTGGAGGATTACGTTATTCAAAATTCGATGACTCTATGTACCGTCATTTTATGACAATGTGAGAAATATACATACATTTACGCAGATTTTCATTATTTAATTTCTTCAAATATAATGCATGACTCTAACATTTTATGGCAACAGTTTGAAAAGTGAACCGACATTTATCCGTCCGACGCAAAATGCCAAAACGAAACTAATAGTCCTTCGGGATTCAAATCCCTTTGGACTAATAATTGGAAGTTAAAATACATTGTTAAGATAATAGGAAATATATTTCGCAGATATGTATAAGTGCAGATATGTATTGTGAGATAATTTTTACTTAACTGCAGGAAATAAAAAAAAATTTAATTGTAACCTCTAATTTTGTTTATTTTTACTTTGAGTAGTATTCAGAACACGAAAGAAATTACAAATTAAAATAATTTATATTTCGGATGATTTTCAAAATTAAGTAAATTTTGGTATTAAGTAAACTGGATTTTACAGAAGAAGACTTATGCATATATATATATATATATATAATAATGACAACCTCAATATTAACTATTCTAGATTTGGTGATCTTCCCTTAAATTCATCTGTTCTCCCAAATTATTTTGATTCAAATTCATTATTTGATTTTATTTACATCAAAAGATTCTCCAAATCTTTTGATGTTATATAACATTACTTGAAAAAGTGAAACTAAAACACAAAATTAACCAATCATAGCTTAGAGTACTTTCCGCATCTACTAGGTGTAAATACCACTCACAAATTAATTACTTCATTCCATTCCTTTTCCTAAGCTCTGCTAACTCACGTAGCTTCGGTTCTCAGATGCCTACGTCTTACTTTTAAAATCAGCATATATAAAAATTATCGTATTGAAATATGATTGGATAAATACCTTATCTATAAAAATGATCTGATATGAA